CCTGGGGGGTCTGATGTTGTTTCTGGATTAGATTGTACTTGATTGATTTGTCTTTGATGTTTAGGTGTACTGCTTCTATGACGATTATTAGATGTATTATAGTGATTATTATTTCGGTGTGGTGATTTGGAATAATTTCTGTAACGATTATTATAACTTGGGTGTCGATTTTGTGAATTATTTCGCGATCTGTTTTGATAATTGCTGTTTGGTCTGTTATAGTTCGATCTATTATATGAGTTATTTCTTGATCGATTGTTTGGGTAATTCTGGTTTCGGTTGTTTGAATAACTTCTATTTCTATTATAGGAGTAGTTTCTATTCCTATTGTATGATGAATTTCGTGATTGGTTGTTTGGATAGTAGTTATTTCTTGGTTGGGAATTAGATCTAGAAACAAATCGTTGTGTATTCGAATTTGATCTGGAGTAGTTATTTCTACTATTTGGTCTATTGTAGTGATTTTGTGATGAATTATACGTGTTTCTTCGTTCTGGTGATCTTCCTCTATAACTTGAGTTATATGGGGATTGATTTCTTGTATAACTTGTATTGTTCGGAAGTGGCTTTCCTGAACTGTTGTTGCTGTATACATTTTTGTTTGGTAGATTTTGATCTTTTTTCATGTATTGATAAAATGATTTATTTGGTTCTTTGTATTTTTGAGGTTTATTTTGACTATCTTGTTGTTTTTGTCTACATTCGGAAATACTATGTCCGTATCGTCGGCAATAATTACACCATTTTTTGAAAGATGGTTTGCCTTTAAAGTTCGGGTTCTTTTCGTAAATATTGAGTATTTCAGTGATTTTTTCAACGAGATCTGTTTCTGATTCTTGTATATTATTAATATTAGTGGGAGTCGTTTCAATTTTGTTAACGTATTGTAATTTCAGATTTTCCGTTTCTTCTAGTTTCATCGTAATTTCTGCTTGTTCTAGTTTGTCTACTAGTTTTCGAAAATCTAAATCGGGTTCTCGAATTGAAGAAGGATGGGATGCTCTCTTTTTTATTGCTATTTTCCTTAATTGTGGTGTTAAGGTCATCATTAAGATTTCTGTCATCTTAGTGTTTTTATAGTCGTGTGTATTTAGTGAATATGCTTTTCGAACTAGTGTTTCGATTCTTACTGCTATTTGCTTGATGGTTTCGTTTGGTAATCTGCGAATTTCATTACATAAAACTCTTTGTTGTTGTTTGTTTCTTTCGGAGTCAAACATTTTTGAAAATTCTTGTGTAAATCTTTTCCAGTTTGATTTTATTTCTTGAGGTAGTACTGAAAACCATTTTTGGGCTGCGCCATCTAAGGTTGTTTGTATTAACGCTGTGCGTCGATGTATCCAATTTTGATGTAGTGGCGTATTTATTGGTTCAGGTCCGATATTTAAAATCAGGTTTGCTGTTACTGCATTTAAATAGTCTTCTACAGAGTATTCAGGGTCTGTTCCTGTGAAAACCATTAAGGGTTTATTTGATGTTATTGATGATCCACCCATAAGGTATGGATTCATTGTCATTTGTAATGATTCAGCTGCATTTGGCATTTGAGAAAAATTTGAAAGTTGGTTTCTTGTTATTTCATGTTGTTGAAGATAATACGGGAGTGGTATTTCATTTTGCATTTGTGATGGTTGATACGAGTGTGTAGTCATTGGATTTTGTTGTTGAATTGGTTGAAAAGATTGTATATTAATTGGATTTGGTTGTTGAATTGGTTGTTGATATTGTGCATCTATTGATTGTGGAGAAAAATTTCTATGGTTTGTACGTGTTTTCTGTATTCCTTGTCTACGATATTCTTGAGTATTTGGTGCAAATATATCTGGTTGTAAGAAATCTTCATCTGAGGATAAATAATCCATTTGATAAGATGTTTGTTTTTTATTTTTATTTTGTTGAAAAAATGGGTAATTTTCACTGCGATCCTGTGGAGGATTTGGTTGAAAATTATTTGAATTATATTGGGCTGTTGGGTTATCCCAGTTTCGAGGTTTTGTATATTGATTAAAATTCCTTTGTGGTTGATAATTTGTTTTTGACGGATGTGTATAATTATAATTATGGTCTGCAAAGTTGTTTCTAGTGAATGTTTTGCGTGTTTTTGATGGTATTGTCATGGGTTTGTATGTTTGGTAATCCATATGTGAATATTTAGGGGCAACCGAAGGTTTTACGGTTGATTGTAAGGTTACCTGTGTTTGTGAAGGATTTGTATTTCTTGGTGTTGTTAAATTTGGGCGTATTGGTGAAATACTTTGTTGTGTAGTTGTTGTGTGTACAATTTCTTCATTTATGAAGTGTGATGGTGTCTGGATATCTTGTTGAGTAAGATTCCTAGTTCCATTGAGGTTTTCATTGTGTATGACTGTAGAGTTTAAACTATTATTTTGTGTATCGGGTAAAAATGTATTATAGTTTAATGGTGTTGCATCAATTGTTAATGGTATTACTCTTACATAGTCTCTTATGTAAGATATTGTACCTATTGCTTGACTTGAGATTGATTGTGGGAAGCTTATAAATGCGGGATGAGACCATTCGGGGTCCCAAACATAATCTGATTGTTCTGTGATAGCGGTTTCATCGTTCGAATTTTGGGGTCTAAAATTTTTTCTTGCTTGTGCAATTAAATCAATATTGTGTGTGAAATAATCTATTATGAACCATGCTAAAATTTTTTGTAAATCGTGTCTGGTATGTTGTGAAACGTCGTCTTTCGTGAAATTTTCTTTAATGACGTTCAAATAACTAGAGAGTAGTGTGATTTCATGTCGTACTCTTAAATGTTTAGATGTGTCTGTCGGTGAGACATTTGTTAATGGTAGTTCATTTTCTAATATTGAAATATAACTATATATTATTGCGAAAACTTCATTGGTGAAAATGGAGTTTGCTCTTTGTGAGTTATGGTATTGGATGCTTTTTATATATTCTGAAAAGACTTTTGAAAATTCTAAATCGAGATCGTCTGTTTGAATAGTATATGTTCTATTATTATGGTTTGGGGAAGTGAATTCTATAGAGTAGATTCCATACTGTTGTGTTATGTTGCATATATCTTTTAGATAGTGATCTATGATTTGTCTTTTGATTTTTACATCGGGGAACTCTGTTTTACATGGACTAATTCCGGGTTCAAATAAATTTATGAGTAAATTTTGACAAAATAAGTGTTGTCCTCTATCAGTATCTGCGTCTACTATAAAGGGAAAGATTTCATCATCATCTGGAGTTTCTTCACCTGGAGTGTGTGTTGAGCTCATTTTTTCGTTCGATGACTGTTAATATGTAATTATTAATGTGTCGAATTGGTTGATTCCAATTGTATAGATGTACTGGTTTGTGTTTGTACTGCTTTTTTATTCTTCTTTTTCCTCTTTGTGATGAATTTGAAGTTGTTTCTGAGTCAGAAAAATATAATTGATCGTGAAGTGGGTAATTTTTATCTACTGATTCTTTTAGTTTGTAAAGTTCGTCTAAACTGTTGGTTTCTGATTCTGAAAATGCGTTTCGATTCTTTGAAAATCTTTTTCGTGTTATTTGTCTTTGTTTAGTTATTATTTTTCTCTTTAGTGTTTGTCGTTTTGTGCGAATGTATCCAACTGTTTGTGTATGAGGTGTGATTACAAGGTCGTATTTTTTGTTATCTATTTCACAATTGTGTAAAATGATTGTTTGTTTATTTCCTAGGTTTTTAAATGACATAAGGTTTAGGATGACGGATGCAAAAGGT